GGCACTTGACCATACTTTCTGTCTTGTTTCGTTACTCGTTTGTGGCTAAATTCGTCGTGGTCTTTCAGCATTGACCTGAAAATGCGTTAATTCTCGATCCAAGAACGTGCGCATTGTTATTTTCCGGTATGACGCAATTCCGAATAGAGCCACTGTTCAGCGCCGTTTTCGTGGACTTTCGGCAGAAGTGCGGTTATTTCCGGTCACATAGCGATCAAAGAATGGTACGAGAAGTTCTTCGCGACTGGTATGATCTTGCGTGACTGGAGGACTGGCCGCCGAACGGTTCATGAAGGAGAAGTTGCCACTACAGTGCGCCAGACGTTCAGGGACGATCTGCTCGTCAATCCTTCGCGCCGCTAAAGCCTTCGCGATCGCACTGTCGTCTGTTCTCCGAATCCTGCACGACCGGAAGCTCCATCCCTCCAGATATGCCCCCTTCATCAGATGTCTGAAGAGAATAAAGCGAATTGACTGGCTTTCTTCAAAGAAGAACTCTTCGTAGAGGTCACGCCGGATATGCACAAGAACATCGTTGCATCCTACCGCCGGAAGCAGCGCAAGTCCATCCAAAATGATGTAGAACACATTGAAATATTGCAGTTATTAACTTCCACTCATGTTGTCTGTGTTTTCGTTGCATTCAAGCTGCTAAAATGTTCGATATTTCTCGAAAAAAACCCTGAAAAAAGGTGTTCACGCGATCTACCGTATCTGTATTTATACTGTATGAATCGATAAAGTTTAAAGGGCGGATACAATGGGAAACCTGCCCTTTCGAATGAGACCTCGACGAACTGAAATGGTGCAGTACAAAAAAAGCTATTCTAAGAATAAATCCGAGTTTTATACAGAAACACCCAGTAATATGCCAGGAAGGTCGACATTAAAACTTGAGTGTTACATAATGAGAGATGAACCGTGTCACATTTCATTCATCCAACTACAAAACTTCCAGACGTGAAAGAGCTTGCTTAGGACGCATGTAGCGGAGTTTGCGGGAACCAGACCCTTCAAAAGAGGCAAAAAATCCAGATAGTGGAATGGATGGAAGAAGTATTTTTTTTTTAAAGAGTAAAACTGGATGGGGGAGGGAGGGAAAGCGGGAAGGAAGAGAAATCCGTTGGAGTGATGGTAGAAGTCCGTCCGCATGATTGTTGATCATTTTACGGTGAGAGGGGTGAGCGGGAAGAGTACATTCGAAGGGTATCTTTTTCCAGGAGCACGAGGAAAAGACCCCGTCTTTCTCGCTTCCGCTTATCCTTTAGCGTATAAATTCATCCATCTTTTGTTTTGTAACTGGGTCCCCTCTTGTCGAGGAGTCGATGCTTTTTTATCATTTTTCCCCATTTTCCGTGTTTGCTTTTTAAAATTTGCCTATAGCCAAGATTTCGACTGAAATCAAGGTATTCCGAGGTGGAGGAAACAATACGAAAATTACTATTTTTGCCATCAAAGAAAGGAATTGAAAGTCTTAGTAAATGGGGTATGGTTGCTATGAGAAAAACTGTAGGCTCTGAGCATTGATTCCTACTGCCTAACGACGTAAGTCGTAAATAATCTCATAAGACTGTTGGGACCATTTGCGATTTTTACTCACCGACCGCAGTCCACAGTCTGGCTGACCATAGCTGTAGCCAACAGGAGTCATAGTAGCACTTAAAACGCCACCAGTCAGGGCGGGCCGTATGTTGTGTACCCTTGGTATAGACTTTATCTTGCACTTTTTTCGTAAGAGGTCTCTCATTTCCTCAACATAGAAGGTTTACGTGGAAGGGTATGCACCCGAAGGGGTAAGTCAGACGTGAAGTTTCAGCGGACGATTTACAGCTGAAGTGCGAGTTCACGGATGACGTGAACTTCTCAGTATATAATACTGTTAAAATGCGCCATGAATGGAACTGAAATATATCTATAGATATAACTATAGTTATTCGGAAATTCTCGATTTTATCGTGATTAACTCTGGGACCGATGATCTCGCGTCTGAATCTAAAATTCATAGCGCCATTCTCAAAGTTCGGTGTACCTTGCTCGCAGGGCTCCATTTTTCGAATCGATATGTTTGTGCATTCTCGTTATGAGCAAAGGAAAAATCTGAAACCTGAATTAAACGAACATGGACAAGTCTCAAACTTGTATAAGATGAACAATAAGTGATGCTTTCGTTGCAGGGACTCAACATCAAGAACCTCTTCTTCGACATGAAGTCTTTTGGTGTATGAATTAATATATTTATTCATTCATTCATTTATAGCACATTTTATTGAGAAGGAATTAACGTGTGGCAAACGGTGAAGGAATGCTGTTTAATATGAGGGTTATTTCAGCGTCCACATAGAGACTCATCTTAGTTCCTCGACTGTTCGTACTTTTCCCCGTATACCTTTCTTTCCCTGTCTTTCCCTGTTGCCGACTGATTGATCAAACACTTCAGTTGGTTTGGCCTTTTTACAGACATCTTGGAGGGCTTCATGCTCTTGTTGAAAAGGGGAGAAAGATTGAGGGGGCTCAGCAATTCCTGAGCAACAGCGGAGAAAACCTGAGATTTCTCCATTCCTCCCTCTTCCCCTCCTCATCCGGTTTCCTTCACGGTTCAACTACTTCTCAGCATCACAAAGAGGCCGATGGGTAGTCATGTCACCATGAAATTGATTTAGTCCTCTTTTAGTCGATAATTTGGACCGAGGGGATTCCCTTCCCCATTCCTGTCCCACAAGAATGAGTGAATCAAGGTCTCAGGATCATGTATCTGTCTACAGCACGTGAGGAATAGAAAAAAAAATGTGGGACTTGGCAAATCATCCACGATAATAATGGTGACCTCTTCTTTCATTCCGGTACAAGTCACAGATTGGGTTCCTTGTATCAGCTTGTGCGTCTTACATGATTCCTTCATATATGATTAAAATGGCTTAGACTTAGCAGCTCGAATGCCCACACTTTTAATTGTCTTCATGTGCTAACGCACGAGACTGGCTTCACCTGATTCGACCGTCATCTCCGTGCCTCTTTCATGAGTTTATTCACCGATACTTGATTGCTTTGCACTCGTTTTGTTTTGTGTCGCGTGTATATATTACCAGCCAGTACAAAACTTCACCCTTCAACATGGACGCTCGTTCTTTTCTGCTTCAAGGAAGGATGAATGGATGAACCAGTCCACTTCTCCCTTCCTTCGAAATACCGTTCTCGCTTACTTTCATCTTTGTCCCTATCGTAATTACAACTGGTCATTTTTCGTTCGAAAACTACAAAGAGCATTCAAAAATGTCTTGCACCCCCTTGCTAAGTACGCTGCGAGGCAGAGAAATTAGTTACACTTATGCTGTTCTTCATAGTATTCTCAAGATTTCTCAATGCACGTCGTCCATCGCTTTACGTCTTTGCGTCCCTGATAAAAGCCTCGCTTTTGAAGATCCCTCAATGCACTGGCCACTCCCGAGTTGACCTCTCAGGGGTCTGTCTTCCCGAACACGCCGGAATCTGCGTTTGAAAAAAAAGTCCAACTCGGTTGGATTCGAATCCGTATTCACCGTCACGAGAGTCAAGCGCGGTACCAACCGAGCCACCGAACTCGTGAGACCTTTGCAACCATAAATCGGTCGTAGCTCCGTCAACTTGAGTCGCAACGCGACGAAAATAAGTGTGGAAATTTCCGATGGTTCCAGCTTTTCAAAGACACCCGTATCGCCTGGACCTGATCGGCAGGCGCGAAAGAGTTCCGGGACAAGCAAACGAACAGGCAATGATATATTGATTTCCTTTGCGGTTCCCTTTTTCCGCTTTTTGTTGCGTTTCATTCATTTTATGTTCGAACAAGTTTTCTGTGAATTATGAATTACTTGTGAGAAGATTTTGTTGAACTACCGTGTCATCTAGTTCTGATTATTATCTGTCCTTTTTTTTCTGTAAACAAAGGAAATCCGCGGTTCTCTCTCATTTCGTCAGGCTTTGAGGTGTTTGGGTAAATAATTCTCTCGATCGTCCTCACCCTGTTATCGCTTCCATGGAGGGCTATGAAATATGAAATTCACTGTGCGCATCCAGAGGAGAAAAATGCAAGTACGCAATCGCAGTGAAATGAAGAGGATTTCGGTAACCATAGACAAAGACAATGGAGAGAAAGAGAGATTTCTGGTTGCATCAATGCGTACATGCCGGCATTTTCAAAACAGGGCTTTCTTGTCTTATCTGCTTGTCCCTCTCGAATATGATATCTCCCTGACCTTGATATGAGGGGATCATGAGGCTTTTCCTACGGGACGCACGCGTAAGTAGTACTAGGGCTGTGCACATGCTGGAAACCAGGTTCGATTTCATCATTGTGAAGATGATCCCCCCCCCCCCCACCTCGTTCGTGGATCCCTATATAAATCCCCTGCTCATCCTCTTCAGTCGCTGTCGGTTTCTGTCCAGTCCTCTTCAATTTCATAGCCATCTTCCTCTGCTGTTTTCACCATGGTTTCCTTCTCTGTGAGTCCTCTCTTTCATATCTGGCAAGAGTTTTAAGTTATAAGAGAAGTTCATTCTCATACATCCTAGTTCATGTTGATCCCAAGTTTAGTTCCTTACAACTAACCTTATACCTCAATTGGTCTATTTCACTCTTAGTGTCTGTTGTATTTATTTTCCGCTTTCTGCCAAATCTGTCTGGTATTGGCTTCTAATCCTAGCCGTGTTCTGATATAAAAATATCAGGGTGGCCCAAAAAAGAGCACATTTTTCAATGCGCATTTTAGTTGATGCTTTCAAATAAATTTTTTCCTGTTACATGTAATGGAAAGAAGAAAGACTTAGCTGCAAAATGCTTTTTTCAGACTTGAAATATCTTAAGCGATAAACTTGAAAGAAAAAGATTGAATTTCGGTTACAAAAAATCGGCGCTGCGCTCACCAACTCGACCCAACATCCCCTTTGACGGTCCGACACTCACAAGAAGGGGAAGGGAAACACTGACCTCAGCAGACGTCGCGACGATTGGATGTGCCTGCCTCCGTATGCGGTCGGTGAGCGCAACGTCGATTTTTCATAACTGAAATTCACTATTTTTTTCATGAGTCACCACTTAAAATATTTCAAATTTGAAAAAAAGCTCGAAAACATCACGCTTAACATGAGTATTGAAAGTGTGCCTTTTTTTTGGGCCACCTTGTATTTTTATTCGTGTCGTTCTGCTATGTCGGATTTTAGGGTTCACTTTCTCGTATATGATGTGTAGATTTTTTTGGTTAGTTTATTACTTTTATCAGGTTAGCAGATTAGTTAGAATTTAGCACCTCATAAGATAATATGTTACAATGAAACCCAAGTCAGTCCCTAATTTGTAGAAAGGTGAGGATAACGAGATAATTTTCACCTTTGGGGTACAGTTGGCGGTGGGAGTATTGTGCTTCTTGGGAGGGGTGTGGGGCGACGGCTCCCGGACCGAGACAGGGGTTGAGAGTAATCCCGCAGACGTCCGCATCACCAACATCCTTGGATCGTAAGCTCGCCATCTCTGATCGCTATCTTCTCTCTATCCTGTGTACCTTTAATTGTGTTTCTTTCGACTGTAATTTCCATTATTATTTATTTGTATTGGGTACATACAATTTTCCCAAGTTCCGCGACACCACCGTCATGAAAATGGTCGAAACATACTGGAGTATGTAAATTAACGATGCTATGTTGCCATAGCACATGCAACGTGGTAGAGATCGCCCGCAGATATGCAAATCGCATGTCTTTAAAAGACGGCGCTCTGGGAGGGGGTAGCGCAGTTCATGTTTGGATGGCAAGCAGTTAATTTCAAGATAGCCAAATCCTGGAAATGATCAAAAGGAACCATCTAACAGAGCCATTGAGATGGCGCGCCATTGGGAGGCTTGAGGCTGGCCAGTCACAAACTGAAGTAGCCCTTTGGCTAAATGTCAGTCGTTTGGTAGTTCACAGGCTTTGGGAACGATTCCAACAGACATAAACAGTATCCCAAAATGCACATGGTGTTCGTCATATCACGGATTTTCGTTGTGTTCCGTAAGTTTTGGAAACCAATGTATTAGGCCCCAAAATTTATCATTTCCTGGCCTCACTGTGCTCACTGGTCTAGCTTAAACTGATGGGGGGCACACCATCCTTGTAGCATCTGCTGGCTCCCCCAGTCCCAGGATATTCATCGATGATAATTTATAAAATTGTTCTGTGGCAGACGGCGTCTTTTTGGTGGGGGCGACGGGAGCCACAGCCAACGCCGGGTGGCGGTACAACAAGTGGATGAAGCCATCCAGCTGGTGCGTCCCCTCATCCAAACCTCAGCGAAGCGAGTGATCGAGGAGGCGCGACCCAGTTTTGTGGTCGTACAGGAGGATGAGGACGACTTGGCAGGTCCCGCTGTTTATAGCTACGCTTGGCAGGTGTCTAATGCGGACGAGGCTCTATACTCTAACCAAGAGGAGTCCCGAGACGGTGACAACGTTAGAGGCCAGTACGTCGTCCTCGATGCCGATGGCGTCCTCCGTACCGTCCGATACACCGTCATAGGCGAAGAAGGCTTTAAGGTATCGTTTGGGTTGTCGTTCAGCTGTTTGTATCCATCGCTTGAATAGGTTACAAGTTATGGAATTTTTAGTACGGTAAGATACCCTTAGTCCCCCGTCTCCATTTTCTATAACTTAGCAGATTGTACAGAGAATGAACCAGTGTCATGTTCTGCAAATGCTTCTAGAATTGTTTTCGATGGGATGTAGAAATGAATGAGAATGTCCGTAGGGCTCAGAATAGATGTTTTGTGTACTTTGGGTACAGGCAGAGATCTTGAGGGAGGCTGGAGTGGGCCCCGTGCAGGAGGGCCGAACGCGCCATGCAGCCACTAGAAGCTTCGCCAGCCAGGGAAGCCACGACAGCCAGGCCAGCCGCTCTGGTTTTGGACTGGCGTCTTTAGTCCAATCTGCAGTCGCTTCACCTGCCCGCACCGTAGTGATCCATACCCGGGAAGAGACATCCAATGACGCCTCGTCCGCTTCCTATGGACGAGCTCAAATTGCTGCTTCCACACAGTCTGCCTCATCCTCCAGCAACGACCTCGGCTCCGGCTCTTTCATCCGCACTGACAACTACGCCATCCAGCTCTAAAATATAATTTATTCTGCATAAATTAGCATAATTTATTTCATGCTTTTTTAAATTTGAGTTCTCTCCGCTCTCTCTGTTCTGTGACTGTCAGAAATAAAGTGCCTGTCAAATGTGAAAAACGAGTCCATCTTTTTATCCTTGAATTGCGTCATGGAGCAGTCTACGATGGAGGTGGGGGGGGGAAGACATGATTTGTTTGTTACAGATAGTGGATATTAAAATTCAGGTTGTGCGATGGGTTTGAATGTGTTGGAGGTTTGATATGAACCGATTGAATGTTGTATCCTGATGGACTGTTGATGTGCAGGCATGCAGAGGAAGAGCACTGGAAAATGGGTGGGCAGGAGAACTCGATGAGGATGAGATTGAAGATGGTGCCCAACCACTCCTTCGACCCACATATCCAGGCATCCAAACTCAGGGACAACCAAGGTTCGACTGTGCTTTTTTAGATAGCGTTCATGAGGGGAGGGGATATGAGGTGTGAAAGACATTTTGTGAAACAACCAGGAGGATCCATGCACCGGCGCCAGGCGTCTGAGACCATGTTCCCCTGGAGCATCGCCAAGGAAGCTGTGCGGCAGGAAGCCGAGGAAGACAGCCTAGCTGATGAGGATTTCAACATTCCTCCTCCACCTTTGTAAATCTCCTCTTCTTGTTTGTCACCTTCCTTCTCCCCTACTTCACCTTTCTCAGAGTTCTTTTCCAGTCAACTTCTTGTCTGACCAACTAAAATCTTTGATGTTTTGCCTCTCAATTGAACAAGGTCACCATCAACAAAAAGAATTGAGGGCAGCTTGCCTTGAAACTCAATTTGTGTTCGAGTTGCGACTGAGTCACAGATATGCTGTGGCCTTGCTAGAAAACTTCTCCCTTTTGTGTTTTTGGTGCTTTCTTCTGTATTTGAAGAAATAAAAAAAAAATTAAATGAAGTGTTAGCATGCCATTCTGCCAGAGCTTCATTGTAGTATGAATAACTGGAATGGAAATGATTACTGGTGTGTTTTTTCACTATTTAATTAGAATAACAAATTTGGAGTTACCCTACTTACAATTATTTTCAGTTATTGTTTCCAGTGAATGGGTGCTTCAAATATGTAGAAAAAAGTAGCTACTAATTTTCAGAACTGGCAAAAAGAGTAATGATATACCAAAGATATGGGATGAAGCTATATCCTCAGTTGTCTTGCATCCTGAAAAGACTACCATTTTAAGTTGCTTCAAAGAATTCAACATGTACATACTCATGTTTTTTGCATGAAGTCATTTTTTGGGAATAAAAATGAGGATCCCAGTGTTTGTGGAAAACCTGTCTGTCCAATATGAAGTCTTATATTTAGTAAATTGCATAGGTCATATACCTCTATCACTCAACTTTTCTTAACCTAATCCAAGACTGCATTTCCTGCTGAGTCAATAACTGGAATGACTCAAGAAACTCTTTCATCTTCACCTCTTCTCAATGTATTTCTTTTCTTCCATTCTTTATTGTTCCTGGAAAGGGAGGAGATGGGAACAGGGACAGGGAAGATAGTGTCCAATGAAGAGTGTCAAGTGATCACCCTGATGAGTGTTGTGAAGGGTCGCTTGGAGGTGACAACCACCCATATTGCCTTTCACGACAATGCCCCCTTCCGTGAGGACCTCTCTCGCATGGACTTCAAGGTCTGTGACCTGTGATATTTCACTTCACTATCATGATTACCATGGTGTTTCTCTTTTGTCCCATCCCTTCCCTTCTTTCTCTCCTTCCTAATGCATCCAAGGCATCGATAACTGTAGCAAGCTGATGGGGCATCCCTTGGGAAGTATCAAATATGCCTATTTTTGCAAGAATTTTGCCCCTTTTGAATTGAAGACAATGTCCTGGTTCCTTTTGTAATACTGCAGTAAACTCAAAAAATATTTATTGGCATATCCACATTAAAATGACAAATTTGAAAGAAGTATGCTCAACCTCCTGGGAAAAAATTACAATAAATCATGGTAATAAGGGACTACCATGATACTTCATAAGAACCCTTAATGAATTCTAGCCCCCTGTTGTTTAAAACCAGCCTCCCAGAAGACCACCAAGGAACCACTGATCATTCACTTCATAAGCAACAGTCCAGGGGTGCTCATACACTTACTAGGAACTCAGTCATTGTTAAGCTTGACTAACATAAGAAAAATATATATAACTGCCTGCACTGTAGGTGGAGAGAAGACTAAAATCCATATTTGACATTCTGCTCTTTGACATTTAGTCCTCTTCAACTTTATATTACTTCTACATTTTATTCATCAACATTCCAAGGCACACTTCTCTTTTATTTCCTATGTATGGTTTCAGCTGTCCATTTACAGAATAGCCAATTGGCCTCTCATGAAGATGGTGAATCATTGAGCACTGTGGCCAGCTCTGAGTGGTATTTTTGTAAGACAAAAGATTCCTCTCAATGTTGTTTACTTAATAATTGTTGTCTCCAGTTTTTCCTTTTTATCCTTTCACAAGTTCATCCAATACTCATACTGAAGGATATCAAACTCTTTTGCAAATGTGTTTTTTTTTTGTTGCATTTATTTTTATCACTCTGATGGTTTGAAAATGCTAAAATTAATCTTGGGTGGGATTTTTCATGACATGTGAGTAAACAATTTGTATTACTTGTTTCAGGATTATGTCTTAAATATACACTTCATATTCCCTCCTATATATATGCATTTGTATCATTTTCATGCTGACTTGGGTACTGAGAAGTGGGGAGACAGAGTATTGAGATAATTTTAAGCAGGTTTTCCTTGAAAATGGTGTCACTAAAGGTGAAATTTTCTATCGCAGGGATATTTGAACTTTTCCCTTTTTTCATAGGTGAACAATAGTTTAGCTTAGAAAGAGTTTCACTTTCTTGGCAATAATTTTCAGCAAAATTCAAGCAAAAGTCCCATCATTGCAATTTCAAGTAGTCCTTTGAGTTACCATTCTCAATTTATGTATCAAGTCTCAGGATGCATGAAAATCTCTACCCCTTTGTCCATTGAACCTTTTTGTTTTTCAAAGTGTCCCCTGGGGTTGCTGAGGGAGATTCATTTGAGGAGATACAATCTGAGACGCTCAGCGATGGAGATCTTCCTGGTCAACCAAACCTCCTACTTCATCAACTTCCCCAGTACCAGGGTCTGTCTCATGTTTCTTACCCCTTCTTATGGAGCAGTACTTTTAAAATGGTAGTTAGTTACTTTAAATTGCTGTTTGGAGAGTACATTGATAAGATAAGGGAAAATAGAATTTTTCTCTGTTATCAGTTTTTTTTAATTTTCCAATAGGCTTACTGATTTTTTTTGCCAAAAAATAAATAAGAATTAGTTTCTAAATGTCATATTCAAAGTCAGTTGCTTAACTTGTACTTTATCAAATCATTTTCATTTACCACTTGTGCTTTCCTTTCAATTTGTGATTAAATTGATGATCCTCTCAACCCATGAAGCATGTAGCATAAAAAGGAGGCCAACAACCCCCATTGGTATGGAAAGAAAAAGTGTTAATCTTGAAAAAACAAATAGAAAAATGTGCAAATATACACTGCTCTTGCTTCCCTTAAACCATCTGTTATACTTTATTGATGACTCAATAGTACTTGAAGCTTGGTGCATTTTTGTCTTTTTGCCTTTTTTTCAAGTTATTGAGTATATTGTCTTCATGGATAGGGATATAAGCAGGGTTGCAGGGTTGCATCCACTTTGAAAGTCCTCTTGCATGAACTGATTGGCACTTTGAATTAGAACCATCTCAGAACAATCACCTGTTGGCAGTCATGGACTGTGAGTTGACTAAGTGAGAAATCCTAATTGTGCAGATGCGGAACCGTGTGTTTAGCCGTGTCTTGAGCCTTCGTCCTCCTAATCTCTTCTACCGAAGTGGGAGATCTCCAGCTGAAGTCCTCCAGTCTTCTGGGCTCACCCAAAAATGGGTCCATCGGGAAATCTCCAACTTCGAATACCTCATGCAGGTGAAGGAAGGGGAAAACTTGCACATTAATGATGAACTTAAAATGGAAATTTTAATTTGTTGAAAGCCTTGGATACTATAGCCATTGATTGATATTGTGAGTACAAAAAAGGAAGATATGAAATAAATGGGGCCAAGGCTTGGAGATGATGTTTTACTAGCATTAAAGAGAATCAAGACATTTGTGAGATATCTTGCATGAGGAAGTACTCAATATCCCCCTTTTTCATACTCATCCTTTCTTCCTTTTAAGACAGGAAAGATTTTATCATCTGTCAAGAAATGATAGCTCTGAGGGGTGGGGGATGTAGAAGTGAGATCCCCCATTTCTTAGTGCCCTCTCAATGTGGGAAAATGGGTGTCTACCAACTCTCCTTTTCCCAGTGTCCTTTTGGAACAAAGGCCAGAAATGAATGCGGTCACGTATATAGGGTGTTCGTATTTAAGCACAGCATAGGGAAATTTTTGCAGCTTATTTGTGGAGTTCAGTGAGTGCTTTATAGCTCACCAGGTTGTATATCTGTAAAGATGAAAACTGTCGCTGGTGTTTTTCCTTCCAGGTATGCAACCCGGTGGACCTTTATAGAGTCAGTCGAACCACCTACAGGTGGCGACATTTCCTATGTTGCCTTTAAATATGAACACCATGTATCCATATCCATCCATCCATACTATATTAAAATACGTTAATGAGTTTCATGGTAGGTGTAGCCTATAGCCTATAACGCTTTTGCCTCTCACATATATAGGTTAGGTAGCCCATAGGCCTATAAACCTTTACTTTTCCAGTTCATAGGCTTGGCAGCCGATATGCCTAGGAGGTTATTCCATGTCCGGCTGGGCAGCATTTCGTGATTCGTCCATGCAGCTGTTACGCCTTCAAGCCGGTGCCTTTCCAGAAATTAGGCTGGACGGGATGGGTTAACCAGCTTAACAATGTGTGATGCGATGCGCCCGCGTAAGAGAAGCGGCGAGGCTGCGTAGGTCTACACTGACAGATGAGTAACTTGAAGATATTAATGCCGAGTGGAGAGCTGCATTAATTGTAGAGCAACATAAGGCTGTTAACGCAGCGCGTGTACGGGTCGAACCTTTACCCATACTGGAGTTGCGTTGGCTAGGACGCCCTACGTCATTCCAGCCGTTTCGCATGATCGCGACCCAACGAATATGGAACGTTCTGTTGAGCACTGGCTGGCTCTTCATTTCGAAGCGGAGAAAGGAAAACTTAGGCAAGATTGTTGTCATTGATCATCTTACGGTGTTCCATTTGAACCCATTGGAGTTTCCGCCAGGGCTGAAAACGCTGCCAATGGGGAAGATGAAAACGCTCGCAATTTTTGCGGGTTTCACAGACAGTACAACAGCGCAAACGCGTTTCCTTCCTTTCGGTGCAACGATTGTTGACATTATCGATAATGATCCTTTCTGCTTCAAAACATCTGGTGAGGTCTATCATTTGACTACGACCCGTCAACATCTATTTGATAATGTCGTTCCTCCCCTAAATCAAAATCAGCAACTAGCGTATGCGATACGGATGAAGTGGTTCATATGCAGCGGCGAATGAAAATTCGGAACGGGAAGTGCGTTGCTGATTATTATCGATAGAGCAGGTGGCACTGGTAAACAATGCCTGTACACTACACGAATTCACATACTGCATGGAAGTGGACAATGTTTTGAGCTTTGCGTGCCAACTGGTATTTCTGCAATTTAGCTGCCTGGTGGGATGACGCGTCCCACACCCTTCGACTTGCCAATGGATCTGCTCACGCATGAAACGTGTCGTTCATCGCGCAAAAATCAGGTGGTGATTCGAGCTACCGACGTCATCATTTGGGATGAAGCGCCGATGGCGCCCGCTGAAGCGCTGACAATACTGGAACAGGCGTTGCGAGATTCGATGGACGATGACCGACTCGATGGAAATGTAGTTGTGCTGGGTGGTGACATCAGTCAATGTTGTCAGGCGTCCGCAAAGCTTCTCGCGGTCAAATCATTGAGACTTTCATCAAAATGAGCCCGTTGTGGTCATCGTTCCGAACGATTCGTTTGACAGAAAACATGCGCGCTGCTGCAAACTAAATTCGATTTACTCGATGTGGGCAATGAAACATTTCCACGCGTACAGGGCGATCCATCTGAGCTCTTCGTGCGTTTACCAGGCGATTCTATCTCCAATAATATGGTGAACAAGCTGTTTGGGCAACGACATAGGGTCTGCGATACCGAGATGAGTAGCAAACGCGCACATTAAGTTTCCCTAGAATGAGCACTCCTGTTTTGTCAATAAGAATGCGTCGTCCCGATTGTAAGGCGAATTGCGGACACATCGCAGTATCGACATTGTGAAGAACGATCGTGGTGGTGATGACACCGATCGGCAGGGCACCTTTCGGGTTGAATTCTTCAACAATCTCAATACTCTGGGTTTCTTTCTGCACGCCCTAAACTTAAAAATTGGAGCTATCCTGATGCGTGTACGGAGCATTATGGGCATAAGTATGAGGTGTGAGCTACTGCGCAGCAGTGATCTTTGCAGCGTATGAGGTGTGAGCTACCGTAAAGGCTCTTCCCAATATTTGTGTATCGGGACTTTTCCCGACAAAGCAAGAGAAAATAGCAATTCAAGTTAAAGACTTACAATCCGCCATATCCCGCAAGAAGGTCTCGAATGTCTTCTCCGGATTCAATCCTCTCCACCATACCTCGATGAGGTACCGCTCCTTCGCCGTATTATGATTGGGAACGACCTTTGCAACGACATGCCTATGATCGTGAGAGACCTGAACGCAAATGTCTTAATACCTATACATGGGGGTTCAGATGAAAAGGAGCCAATGGCTGTTACTCATAGTCTAAAGTTAGCCTAGGGTAGGGGACTAAATGGGGTCCCCATTTCATTTGAACACCCATAGTACTTGAGGTGATCTCGGGTGCGCTTCATGAATGCGTTTACTTGCTGCCTAGTTTCACTGGCCACGTCAACCCAAGTCAGCATACCGTTCCCTCTTTGTCAACGTCAATTCCATATTGAGCTTAACTACAGTACGTCAATAAACAAGTCAGACAGACATTTGATGAAGTCGGATTACTACTTACGGATCCAGTATCCATGCATGACATTTGTACATTGCCTGCTCGCGAGTTCGCTCTGAGTATTCGCTGAAGATTCAGGTTATCGATGGAACGAAGAAGGGAAAAACTGATGCTGGCACCGTTGCCGACGATGTGGTCGTTGAAGAAGCATTTCTCTGTTCGTCAAATCCATTCATCGGAACTATTTTTGTTCATTGATATAAACTTTCCGCTTCGTTCCCACGTGTGTCCCTTTTCTTGATCTTTCATGGTTCCTTCCATTTTTATTTATGTTATTCATGTTGAACTAATTTTTTTGGTTGTAATTTTCCCATATTGGCAGATGTAGCACGCTGTGCCTCGGCATCTCATTGATGCATGTTTCATCGTGAACTGTATAACAAATTTTGGCTGCGAGAACCTGGCTAAGACTATTCTTATTTGTTGAGCAGTAACAAAAAGTATATGTACGGATAAAGGCCGCAATTGCAGCCACAGGCCGCTAGTCTCTTAGAATATGGTTAGTAAATTGGTGTGTTTCATCAACCTCCTGCCGTCTCAGTTGGACAACATGCCATTGTATGGCAAATAGTCCTTAGATAATTAGTCACTGCAACCTTCTTGGATTATAAATCTGTTATATTTGAGTTTGATGAAAGCTTGTGAGATACAGAAGTTATATCTTGGATAGGAGGAGCATTTTCACAGCCTACATTTTCTTTATTGGGAAGAACTTAATGAATGAATGAGTTAATGAACAAATGAATCAACTTCTGAAAAAATACTGTTTTTTTTAATGTCATCTGAAGGCAACAGAGAATGATAGTTTGTAGAAACAAAACCAACCTTGAAGTTATTAGTCCCATTTTAAGAGAGAAAATATACATAATGAATTTAGAGCAAAAGGAAAATATGATAGAAAAAGAATGGGGAAAAAAGAATGACAAAAATTGCAGTAACAAATGATAAAATAAGTAAAATAAAAGTTGAATTAAAGCTAAAAACTAACTTGAAGTAATTAAATTTAAAAATAACTTTGAATTAATAACTAAATAAAAATGGATTAAGTAAATAAAGTGAAATGAGTAAAAAGAAACAGCTTAAGCATACTACACTGTTTATAAAAAACTATTCCATATCATTTTCGTTATTGACAGTAAATTTTATCAGATCAGCTTGATTTTTTTAATACTGCATGTAGATAGAGGAAAGAAGGTATGTGCCAAAGTTGATGAAAATTGACCCATTGCATCACGTTCTATGCCATTTCAAACTTTATTCGTAAAAAGTTTGCTGTACAAGCTAAAAAAATTGCCATTTTGCTCTTTTTTATCAGAATGTTAGTAAATTTCATCTGATTGGCCTAATATTTCGCAAACTGCATGTGGATACGTGAAAGAAGACTTTGCTAATTTTGAACGATATTGACCGAATGTATCACGTGACAGACCATTAGAAAGTTGAAGGCTGAGAAAATGGACGAGACGTAACTGCTGATGCGTTCATCTCAGTTGTGCAGCAAGTGAGTGTCTGTGTGCCATCCAGAACGGCAAAGGAGGTTCACTTTACTGGCTTACATGAACGCATCAGCTGGCATGTCCGTTGGATTTTCTTAGCCTTCAAGTTTTAAACAGCGTATCATGTGATAAGTTTAGTCAATATCATTCAAAATTTGCAAAAACCATCTTTTATCTATTCACATGCAGTTTATGAAATATTTGGCAAATCAGATGAAATTTACTAACATTCCTATAATGAAAAAGAAACAAGCTGGCACTTTTTTTTTAGAGCTTGTACCTATGTATGGCACATTTTTTTACATGTCAAGTTTGAAATGTCATAGAACATGATACAATGGGTCAATTTTCTAAAAATTTTGACACTTACCTTCTTTCCTCTATCTACATGCTGTGTTAAAAAAATTTAATTTGATAAAATTTACTGCCATTAATAGCGAAAATTATTTGGTACAGTTTTTTTTTAAACAAGTAGATGAATGGTAGGGGAGGATCTGAAATCTATCTTGGAAGATATTGAGAGAAAAGATTGAAAGGAAAGAGGAGAGAGCAAACCTTTGGTGCTCTTAAGAATTCTGTTCATCAACTATCTTTCACCCGAAATTTTCTCTTAAGGATAAAATTTGTTGATCTGTGTAGCAAAGATTTTGGATTTAGGTATCTATTGTATTTCAAGAAGCATAGCAGAATTCCTTGTCTTGTATGCTTGATTTTCTTGTTACCTCCTTTCCCAATTAAGTTTTATGTTTGGAGATTTCTTCCAAGAGTTATTCTTTGTGGCTTCAATCATCATGTCAAAGGAGCTGTTACACAATGCATCAATGCAGTGGTGATAAAAAATAAATTGTATTTTCACTTTCATAATGCAATTCAGGAGAACAAAAATCCAGGGAAACAAGGCAAGTCTGGAAAATACCAGGTTTCCTGCAGCTCTTTGTATCAGCTTATAATTGTGCTGAAGAGCCACAGGGTGTTAGCCTTGAATATTGATCAATGGCTGCAATGTAGGGCTGAATAAGATTTTGTGCCAAAAATGGTTTATTGTGATTTACCTGGATTGAGCTGATACAAAACATTCAACAGATGCTTATCCAGTCTTCAAGTTTGTGTTCACATTCTTAATGACAGCCTGCAGGACACTCTATATAAGTTTTGGCATTGCTAGATGAATTAGTTTGGTCAAATTTTTTTCTATAATGTTCTGAAGTCCTGAAATACAGCATGTTCACCATATCTGGATCTTTCTTTAACGTTGTTCAATATGCCCTGGGTTATAATGACCAGGATGATGTGCAAGGAAGGGCACTCCCTCTGAATTGTTTTTCTAGTTGCCCTGATAGACCAAGTGCCTCAATTTCATTGCTGGCCACAATCCTTTTTTGACAGTTTTTGCTGGAGGTCAGAGTCATTGCTCTGTATAAATCGGAAGGTGCAGAAACTTGATCCTCCTAAAGAAAATGGGTAATAGTTAACTCTGATAGAGTACCTGTCAGAGCCAGTAAAAAGGATGAAACTTCTAGGTCATTGTGATCCAGATGTTTCACCCTGGCAATAGAGTAAATTTGATGATGGGAAGTTGTGCCACTAGCATGGCTGATGAGTGTAATCAATCTCAGAACATGAGGATGAACTTTTTTTAAATATCTTTCTGTATACTACTCCATATGACCTTTGTTGTGATGTTATGTACATGCAAAAAAAAACTGGCAAAACTGTAAAAATGAAATAGTGTACTTCAGAAACTTGAAACTTTGACTCATGATAGGTTGCAATTAACTGGTAGATCACAGCAGTCAACTAGTACCCAGAGAAGGAACTCTGTTCTGCTAGAAATTTTAGGACTATTCTTTGAAATCAGTGATACCTTCCTTATAATCAAATCCAAGCAGTCTTTGCAATTTGACCTAGAAGTCTGCTTGTACTAACTAATGCAGCTATGAAAGGGTGCAGGGACCCTTTGCATGCATTTACCAATACAGCAAAAACCTATGCCAACTTTGAATTCCATATTGAGATAAAGAAAAGTAATTATTCATAGTTACTTGATGCTGAAATATTTTTACTGTGCAGTTCATTTAGATAAATGAATGTTCTTGATTACAGCTGAACACAATATCAGGTCGGACGTACAATGACCTATCACAGTATCCTGTATTTCCATGGATCCTATGTGATTACCAGTCCGATTACCTAGACCTGGAGAACCCTGAGGTCTTCAGGGACCTGAGCAAGCCCATTGGAGTTGTGAACCCTCGCAATGAAGCTGAGGTTCGATCCAAGTATGACAGCTTCGAGGACCCCTCTGGTCTGTCCTGTTTTGTTATTCATTCCATTTTTCAGCTTTTTTTAAATCCTCTCCAGATGATGCAGGTCACTCAAGGAGTGTTCATTTTTGCCATAGACCTACAGATTTACAGTTGGGTGAAGGAGACATTTTCTGAATGTTAGTCATCCAGAACTTTGGCTATCCAAAAAAAAAAAAACAAACAACTAGAGTACCAGCCCAAATGCTGGTCTGCCATTCCACTTGTCACCAAAGGCACCTGACATTGGACTAGTCACTAGTAACCATAGATACCTTTTTACAACCAGATGCCACCATGCACATATATAATGAACAAAATTTCTTTGGTTATCAAAATTCAGTAGCATAGTTATTTATATTATCACCCACACAATACAATACAATGGCAAATGCAGATATATAGAAGTTAACAAAAATAATAGTGCTTTTAATGAGTGGGAAACTCAAGGATTGTTCCAACAAGTATAAGTGGGCATATCAAAAAGTTCCAGGACTAGCCATCATACAGGCTAACTTCATACAGATGTTAAGTTGCAACATGATCCCCTACAAAATAGTTCCCTTGACTTGCAATACACTTCTCTCTACATTTTGTATGAATAAACAGCTTGGAGCACTGGCTGTAACCCATTCTTGGCAACAATTTTTTTTTTTCTTTTATAAGGAACAATTTTTTTTATAATACTGAAACCTAACTTCTGTATGTAGTTAGCTTGTATGATGGCTGGTCCTGGAACTTTTTGATAGACCCACATACCACGTATGAAGAAGTTAGAACTTTGGCAGGGTAAATTTCTATAAATTTCTACAGTAATGATATTGTGGTTTACATGCATAGTATATTTACTGAGAAATTTATCACATATTGCAATGTCCTATTCTTAACCCTCTGATTACAGCACAGGGTGTCTCAAAAGTTAATGCTGCAAGAATTGATTTTTCTTGTGTTATATTTCAATTGAATGAAAATTGTTGTATTAGTTAACATGGGAAGAGATTAAGCTTTCCAATGCTGAAGACTGTATGAAGATCAATGAACTCAGAAGTGAACCTTAGGAAAATTCTGACTTGAAGGAGGTAGTGAGTCACAAGTGTACTGCCTGGAGACTCTTCATTCTATTGCTGTTTCTTGGGGCCACAGGATTCATTGAATGAAAGAATCTTCTTGGCGACCCATCTCTCTCAATCTCTAAAACCATAGCAGGAACAAGTCAGTCAGCAGTAGAAAACCTTGCTAAGCATCTGATGGTGTGTACATTTTTTAGAACTAATTTTCATGTCATTTTTCAGCAGATGAAAGCTTATTCTATTCTCTTTCTAACTAATGCAACATTTCAAAAATCGAGTTCAATATAATATCAGAGAAAGCCATTATTACAACGTTAATTTTTTTGAGACACCCTGTAGGATGTTGGATGCAACTCATTCATGTCCTATGCATATCACTTTAGACACTTGTTCCCATGGCATCACAATGAGTGCAGGGATGATTTTTTTGAAGAGGTTAAATGCCTTCATGGACAAAATAAAAAAGGGGTGATGTAGTTGTAAAGGACTAGGCAGTAGGTGGATGTGCCTCTGCAAAAAATATCTGTCATTAGGAGGGGTAAGTGGGGCAAGAATGCTTGACCTTGACACAGGACATCATAACAGATGAGAGTGCCTCTTGACATCCTGCTTGAACCTTGAATGAAGGGAAAGTTTTATCCTGCTGTGTGATGAGGAGCCTCTATAGGCCACTCCATTTTCATTATCTCATTTGCAAGCATAGAGTATTGCAAGGATTAAATTGAATTTTGGCTTGGTATCCTTTTTGGGAGGGAATTTGATGCCTCTGTTCTTGCTTGATTGCATAAGGTGTACTGTATAATGGATGATTTTTATTGGGTGATGCAGGTACAATCCCCAAGTTCCACTATGGGACACACTATTCAAATGCAGCTGGGGTGCTTCATTATCTTGTCCGTGTGGAACCTTTCACCTCCCTCCATATTGAGCTGCAGAGTGGAAGGTCTGTGTCAGTCTCCTTTTGATCTTAGTGCAAGTCCAATCAGCATTCCTTGCTCCTATGTTTATAAATTACTCATCCAGATGAGCTGAGGAAGATCACCTTTCTAAATTCTTGAATATTGGTATATTAACCCTTTGAACCTGTAAGGCCAGTTTTCCGGCCTGGCAGTTGCAATGCCAGGAAATGGCTTGACCAATCACTGGAGATAAGGTAGGAAGCCATTCTGACTATTGTTCTGGCCAGAAAACCACAATAAATGTGTTTATACTGTATTAGTGTAAATGAACCAATTTTGCGAAAAATTGCCCAGGAACCTGGGATTAGGGTATGGAAGGGTTCAAAGGGTTAAAGGAAGATGGCAAATTTTCTTGTTTCACATGTCAAAATCAGCAAGAGGTGAAAGTTTTTCACATTAGACTTAGATTAGTTCAATACATTAGACCATGTATTGAACAATATTGCAAAATTTGTCAATAGGTCTATAGACTATTCCATAGGTCAGAATCAAAAACAAAAAAATCCTCAATATTCAGATTGGAATCAGACATTGTTGAGTCCACACATGACAAAATGACCATTGGTGATTTCTGCTTGCCCAGTCAAAAATTCCAGGCTGTGCCAGCTTGAATTTCCAGGTGGTTTTTGAAGGTCCAGCAGGTTCTAGCTAGTCATATGTTGGAATTGTGTCCACCTCATTCCAGGTGGTGGAAGTTGGTCTGTTACAATTACCATTCATAAACTTATCCCAGATTATAAATGAAGATATTCAAGCATAGTACATATTGATTTAGATGCAGCAGACCTAACAGTTACAACTTTTCAGATACATGGAGTTTCATCACAGACTGATGGAACCAGCATGGTTCCAAATGCTGTCATGCAAACATTCTTCAGCTCTGGATCCAAGAAGGTTCCATGATGGATGCATACTGGTTGTCCACCTAAGTAGCACAAAGGCCATAGGCAGTCCAGGCACTATACTGGGAGATTTCTGGTAGAGGCAGTAATTTTGGGGCAAGTGGGGGCTTACAGTTGATGGCCTGCTACCTAGTGTAGGTGGCAGGACTCCAGCTCTCTTCCCATAATGTAACTGGTACACCCCTAGATGCAGTACCAAGAGTCCCCCACTAGATGGTACCCATGCTCCCTACACCCTTCATATGCAATTAAGTACCTGCCCTAGTGATTTAATAAAAGTGTTTCCTCCCCTCTGTCCTATTTTTATTGTGCAATTTATGGACAGATAAAGAAAACATGGAATTATAATGTTTTTATTCTAATATATGACTCAGGGAAATATTACATGCTGAAGTTAAATATGGGAATAGGGAAGGGTAGATTCAATCTACCCTTCCAGAAAAAAAGAAAGACAAGTCATACAATATACTATATTGCATGACTCATCTTTTTTTTGTATGATATGTCTTGGGTATTGTATGACACAGTACTTGTAGGGTCCTGTTCACCCTCTCAGGATTCTGTATTGGATGCAAAAGAGGAAGCAGTGGGTCATGAGATCACACACCACTGTTGACTCTTCTGAGCATGCTAGAGCTCCAAGTTATAGAGACAAATTTGATATGCATGGGACATTAGGTTCCTTCCCAGCTGGGTGGTACACCACCACCCAGTCAAAAATTCCAGCTGGAACCAGCTACATTTACCACCCTAATACCACCTATAAACCAGCTGGTTTTAAGCTGGTCTTAGCTGTGTATTGGAACATGGTTCCAGCTGGTATGAAGATGGAATGAATATGGAATTTAACTAATACTTGTAGTTTATTGGTGTTTTAAATAGTAATGGAACATGGAATCCAGCTGGAAGGGAATTCTATCTCACTTCAAGTAAGGGTCTAGTTTTCAAAGTTCTGAGGTTCCAAAGTAAAAAAAAAGGCCTTTAATGTGAAAATGACATGAAAATTTGCATTGTAAAATGATTGAAAGAAATCACATATAAGGCAAGAGAAATATGGGTTCCGTGACACCTCAGGTGCCGTGGAAGTCAATGTGCTTGCCATCCTTAGTCTGCTTCAATTCACTTATTTTTCAGAGGTACAATGACCCAATCACCCAGTTGACATCCTTTCTGAGTTGCTCTTGAGTCTAAGGGAACTCCGCTGGAGTCGTCTCCGATATGCATCTAGCAAGATAATGAAAGGAAATCAAGGCTGTGTTCATGATCGACTCAAATGAATCTAATGTATACAGTACTTTCAGCATTTGGTTTAAGGAGAGGAACCCTTCCCATCCAGAACCACGCCTTATGTCCCTTTTTGAGAAATAGTATTATGTTGCATATTTCTTCCTTCTCATTCAGGTATTATCCTATCGATGCGTACTCTCTTCATGTAACTCCGACGATGTGACAACTGACCAGGACCGTTTCTGGGGGCGGGCGATCGCTCGGGGCGCCCCAGCGGGGTAAAGGGGGGGAGGGGGGCGCCAACATGCCTTGAAACGGCCCTGCAACTGACACATGGGGCTGGACATTATCCGATCCATTTAAACCACCACCATTTCTTATATAATAACGCGAGCAATTAATCGGTTTATCATTTGGCATCGGTTGAAGATACACCCATATGCGTGGTAAGAACTAAGAACCCAAAGGCCTATGTATATCAATACATACCTCCCTTTCACCGCTTTGCAGTTTGCTCCGAATTCGATGGTTAAAAGATCTCTGTCTCTGACTCTCCTGGATACCAACTCCAATTCGGCTTTTGTGCAAACTTGCTCTACACATAAATCGCACAATTTCTATATATAGGCCTATTACTATATTATATTTGTCGGCATTCAACTTCGTACTCGAATTACGACTTAAATTTCGGGTCTTCGAATTTCAAGCTGATCCGAAGCAACTCGTGACAGGTCTAACTTATGAAAATTGTTCTACTTCACTCACTGGAGAATCCGCGGCGAACTTAAGCAGATATCGCTGGAGCATTAGTAGGAGTAAACGAAAGAACTGCAGACGCGTTGCTCGAAACACCGAGAGAGTCGCGGACAGGAGCTATCACTGAGACACCCTTGGGAATGGAAGGGGGAGCATGTGTAAGTTTGCCCGGGTCGTTACGCCCCCAAAGGCGTCAGGTCGGAGAGGACGCCCCGGGCTGTGCGCGACCTCCATTCCCGCTAGTTGTGAAGACCTTGGAAGTTTGGAACCTCTTCGCGTTGCACTTGCACCTACTCTGGCCTGATGCTTGATATGAAATATTCGCTGAAGTTCTCAACTGAGCGATTGAAGGGCATCTGAACCGTATTGTAACGTATCGTAAAACTCGGGCAATTTTACGCACTTTGCAGGAATCCTTTTTTTTTGCGTAGACGTTTTTTCGGTGGATCAATGGTTTTGTTCTTTAACTGCGAAAGAATTGATGAAAATACATTCTCTCATTCTAAGTAACAGTATTGAAGTATTATATATGCTACACAGAGTGTGTCCCACATAGTTCGTACGGGCGAAAAATGAGATTGGCAGAAAAAATATTCTCATATCCATCTGAAACCATTAATAGCCACTAATAGACCAGCAGAACCTTGTTTCCTGCCATTGCCATCTATAAACCAGGTGCAGACCATCTTCACTCAAATTTGAAACTTATTAACTTATTAATCATAAGTGAATCTGCCTATTAATTGACTCTTTTAAAAGGTTTTTTTTTCCCTAAACAGAATATCGATTTAAATTTATTTATTTATATCAGGAATGTTAATAATAATGATTAAAGATTCTCAAGGTAAGCAAAAAGCAATTCAGCTATATACCAGCTAGGTCAAGTGGAATCCAGCTGGAATGTTGAAAATCATCTACTCCCAGCTGGATAGTAGCTGGAATTTTTAAATGAGCAATGAGCTACCTGTTCATATACTGGCTTTCTAGCAGCCCGGAAGGTGGCAGGCCAGCGCTGCCAAGTGGGACATGTAAGTAGATGGCTCACAACCTAGTGAGGGTGGTGGGCCACCAGCTCTCTTTCCCCAATGTAGCTGGTGGTTCACCACCTAAGTGCTACTTGGAAAGGTAGGAACCTCCATGATGGATGTATGCTGAATATCTGGCTAAAAACCATCATGGTCCAATTTTACATGTGGTTCCATGCTGGAACCACCTGAGTTCCCAAACTGGAACCATGATGGAAGACCCATGTTGGTTTCAGCTTTCAGATCCAGCTAGAATTTTTGATTGGGTGTGACTCATGGTCATGATCTTAAGAGTAATACCTGCTGCATTTCTTCCTTCAGTCTTATAGGCCTCACATTAGCAACAGTGCCACTCAGGTTGATGCCTTTCTGTGCTCAATAGGCCTATTTGTTTAGGGTGACCCTACAGGATGAGTCAAAAGTCCTACCCACATTTTGAGTGTTTAACTTTTGAATACTACATTGGATTGGAATCCTGTTTAAACAGTCCAAAGAAAAGAAAATACCCCATCTGGAGAAATTTTTTCAAATTATTTTGTTGATCTTATCTTTTTTATGAGCTGTAAATTACATTTGTTTTTCAGGGGTTCTTTATGCTTGTTCACATCTGAAAACATGCCCATGGATATTGTCATCTTGATTTAAATTCCAATAAATTTGAGTAGAATAACTAAGAAATTACTGACTATCCATAAGCACGTAGAAAATATATCCCATTTTCTTTCGTATTTGGCCTAAACATGATGATTGCTCAACAAAACATGAAAAAATCTGACTGAGAAAGTTTCAGCTGCAAGTCCACATGATTTCAAATTCCAACACACAATGTTATTTATGGACAAAAAATCTGACCTTAGCATGAACCCCCCAAAATTAAATTCGCAAAAAATACCACGAAAAGGTCAATGACCCTGCTACTATTAATAATTGCAAAATTACAAAGAGGTAAAATTTTTTGTATTCTGTCGATACATTTTTTAATCAGAAGATCCCTACTACAAATGAGGCATTCCGGCTCAAGTAATCAAAATCGTGGTTGCGTGTGCGACTGGGATTTCGGTGAAAAAATTCATG